GAACTTCTGCTGACTTACACCAAAGTGCAAATTGCAATTCCTAGAAATGTAAAATGGACGAAACTCTTAACAACATGAAGTTTCTTTGCTGTGTTACACTGCAGCGCTCCCTGTCTGGAGTTGGTTTAATTATTTTCAATGAAATACCGCCGTGTTTATGTGGTCTCTTTGTAATTTTACTCACATCCTCCGGTTAAAAAACAAGACACAAAATTGTTTGCTGTATAAAATCCGCTTTTCAACTTCATCTTCAAAACCGTCCAGATACAAGATATCAGGTTTTTACAGCGATGAAAATAAGGTCGTGGCCTTCATGAACATGACGGTGTTATAAGCCAGAAAACCACGATAGTAAAATATTCAGTTGATATTATAATTTGGGTCATATAGTTGACTGTCACCTTTACATGAAACATAATTTCTTGCTTATTTCTCTTTAAAGGTAAATTTTATGTTATGAATGAATTGACTTCTGGGATATTTAAAGTAGCTTTATGAAACTACGATATATTTGGACTTTCAGATCGACTGTAATGGTAAATATATTTGTAGTGAAAATAAATACAAATATGAGGATCGATTTACTTTGAAACTGTATGGAGCTTGTTTCTGTACGATTGAAGGAAAAAAATCCCATGAGATCTGCCACAATAGCAAGTCTTCTGCCTACGTCAGTATCTTGAAAGTTTTTCTATGAACCGGACCAAATGATACAAACTAATGGAAAAATTTAATTATCATTTTTGTGTCCAGATAGTCACAATATGTAATACAAAATGTTAAATCACACCTATTTTCTTTTTTATCTTGTAACGTAAAACAGTGCACTTCATCAATGAATCGAATACTATTTTCTGTCATGTTTAGTACACTAAATAACATTTTTATTTTTAATACACCACAAGATATTAACATACAAACTGCATATTTTTTATAAACTGATACTGAACTTTACGAAGAATAACCATAATAATAACATTACATCTAATGTCACCGTTAAGGAAATATTATAGTTTAATTGTATTTTTAATGTTTTTCTTTTGTGAGTAAATGCTGTAATGTTTATGTTGAAAGTATATTTATTACTGGGATGTTTTCTGAGTCAGAGATGAAGATTTATAAAGCTAGTTACACACGTTGCTTAACAGAAGCACTGTTTTAAAAAATATTATTACTTAAGAAGTTTAATATTCTATTTAAACTTAATCTTACTTCATTAATTACTTCTTGCTGACACATAAAACATTATGGAAATTTCACATTTCAGTATGTAAACAACTATGTTCACTTTTGGTGAATATACGTTATCATTTCTCTAAAAATAATTCGAAATGTTTACAGTACGCAAATAATCCTAATACACATATTATACTGCATTCCGATAGAGCCGCCGTTTTCATGTTCAGTGTAACAATTTGTAGTGGATACGAAATACAATTAAATTATCACGTTCGAAAGGAGACATATGGATCGGAGATTGTATATTACATTACACCATATTCGTTTAGTTAAATCTAACTGAAAATTATCGAAAATATATAGATCCATTCACAGTTATAAATTGTCACTTTGCCAATTGAAGCCTAAACTGCAGTCATTTCTCGTTTGTAACTCGAACGACCCATTCAAAGCCAAATAATAAAGATAGAAGAGAGAGAGAGGTGGGCGTTTGCTGCATTCATTCGATAGAAAGAAACATATTCATGAATTTAACTACTTCATTATCATAGTACAGAGACACAGTGACAAATCTCCCAGTAGCAGGATAATATTAAATATAATGTGACCAAACACTTATAGACCCACCCCAACTACCACTACGACCCCCACTATAAGGTACCATTTTGCAAAATCCCCACTGACGTATTATTTCATATGTAGCAGAAGCTAATTTGTAGTGTGAAACACATGGCGTGCTTTATGTATTGTATGATAGCAGGGAGATAAATTATTACGACACTTCTGTTGTTATTTTGGTTCCTGCGTTCCCCCGAGTCTCGGCCGCAGACGAATGGCGTTGCTGCGCCGAGTTGCCGTCGAACGACAGCAACCTCATTTCCAAACCAATTCACGTTTCATCATCTGCACCCATCAGATATGTTCTCTCCCGTTGTCGCTCCGACATCACGGTACAACTTTAGAAACAAACACACTATCTTTATTGTCAATATTTGTTTTGATCAAGTACTGATATAATATCCGTTTAACACTGCATATTCAGTGCACGATTCCTTTCTGTCACATGCAATATCAGGGGAACAAAAAGCTTAAACTCGCTTGTTTACGTGTAATCTTTACGAGAAATCTCATATATGTTATTTCGCAAACAAATACCGTGGTTAAAAGGATTACGAAGTTCAGTTAATCTTTTAGTGGGATCACAATTCCGTCTACAAAAACATGGCTTAAGAATTTAAAATCCTTCAGCTGCGATTATTAAAATAAAATTTGTTATCTACGCTTAAACATTTTTCAGCTCTCATTATGAGACGAAACGCTCGTAAAATATATTATTGTACGTGCTTAATGAGACCAGATGCAATAAAAAATGAGATATTTTCGCAGATAAAGTTGTAAAGAATCGTGTTGTTTCGTGACAAAGCTGTGCTCCTTGTTATTTCACAATAATCATAAAATTAACTAACCTTAATTATGTATTAGACATAATTCTTTAGTATAGTTCCATCAACGCTGCTGCTAATCATAATTTTATAGTCTGAAACAGCGTAGCTATCGAAGGTTGCGTTTTTGTAGCTGTTAGCAGCAGCACGGACTGTCTGAATGTAATAACTATACAGGGTATACACAAAAGAATGGCGGTTTCAAAATTTAATAAAAAAAATATATTTCTCACCTTACACGGGCACAAAATACAGGTGTAAGGTGAGAAATATATGTTTTTTTTAACTTTTGAAACCGCACCATTCTTTTGTGTATATCCTGTAGAAGCCACATGCACAAACGCAATAGATGACTGACAGAACTATGTTTTATTAATATATACGACAAGAAAACGTTAGTAGCAATAAGATGGCTCTGTCAGACAAAGAACGAGCGTTCTCAACACGTTATCATCTCCCGTCCTTCAGTAACAAAATTACAGGACAGTGCTAATTGCTTTCATTACACAAGGTCCTATAAAACCATTTTAATATCTATAGGATGTGCGGAATGTATCTAGCTACATGGAGGTTTTCGTTTTATGAACTGTCTTCAGACCACTCCAAAATCGATTAACGAACGTGACTACCTTTTACCTCTGAGGACTGTTTGATAAACCCCCCAAGTTTCAAATTAACTTTGTATCTCTTGATGAAGAACTGCATGTCTGAAGCAACAACATATCCAGACTTTTATTCATCATACAAAGGAAAAAAAAAACACAGACTGTAAACTCACAAGGATAACAGAACAGTCTATACATCGCAACTTAATTTTCCGCTCTGTGTATGGAAAAAGGAACTTTGAACTGAACCGGTGGAAAACGGCGTGAGAAGAAAAGGGACGCTTCCAAGTGTACCTGAGGATTATCAATGTCAGGTTTCCCAAATTTGCGGATATTTCAGACTGCTGCTATTAATGCCGGTGGTACAATAAATCCTTGCATAACACTCTCGGATTCTACGGTGGGTGATCGTTAATTAGTCTACTAAAGCGTGAGATATAACAAGCGCTTAGACCGCACGCAGTGTCGCGACACACATACAAACTATCCCCACACTCTGACCGATATCCTGCGAAAGTCGAATAACGAAAGCTGGGTTATTTGTCTAGATACACTGTAATTAGCCACCAGGTAGGACGTTTCTTGTTGTCTAATTATAGTGTCAGACTGATCAAACTAATCCATCACACAATTTCTAAGTTTCAAAACTCAAGGTATTTACACTTGTAAGACTTGAGGTTCTCACAGCGGTGAGTATGAAGATTTCTGTCTTCTGGGTTATTGCGCTGTGTAGTCTGGTCGATGTTAACCAACGTTTCAGAGGTCA